CTCCGTCTCTGAGCCCTGTACCCTGTAGTGACAACGCTGGACTTTGGTCAAAGTGTGTGTGTGTGTGTGTGTGGCTGGAGCAATGGACTGCAGACCCTTGCTGAGTGGTGAGGGTCTCGACGGTGTTTTCACCAAAGCAAGAGAGTCCCCTTCTGTTCTAAATAAAGGGCCTGGCTTGATGTGTCTGTCACCAATGTAATGACAAAAAAAAAAAAAAAAAAAAAAAAAGCCGGGCGGTGGTGGCGCACGCCTTTAATCCCAGCACTCGGGAGGCAGAGCCAGGCGGATCTCTGTGAGTTCGAGGCCAGCCTGGTCTACCAAGTGAGTTCCAGGAGAGGTGCAAAGCTACACAGAGAAACCCTGTCTCGAAAAACCCCAAAAAAAAAAAAAAAAAAAAAAAAAGGCCAAGTGGGTACCTTCGGGCCCTGCCAAGGTATGCCACTAAGTAAACATGCCACATTCAACGGAGTTAGTGCAAGAAGTTTAGTAGGGGAGGGGTGGAGTGAAGGAGCGAAAGTGTCAGAGTCAGGACATGGAAGAGGCCGGCAGACAGACAGACAGAGGAACAGAGAGAAGAGGGAAGAGACAAGAGGAAGGAGAGAAGCAAGAGAGGAGCAAGAGGAGAGAGAGAGAGAGAGAGAGAGAGAGAGAGAGAGAGAGAGAGAGAGAGAGAGAGAGAGAGAGAGAGAGAGCGCTGTGCCTGGCGGGCACTTTTAAGGGGTGCACATGCTGCCCAGCTGAAGGTGACTTAACTGTGTCCACGGCAGAGGCAGGATTCTGCTGCTGCTGCTTCTGCTGCTGCTGCTGCTTCTGCTGCTGCCAGCTAACATTCCTCCCTTTTGTTTTTATAAAAAGCTGAGGAAATAGAATGGTAGATGGTGGGAACTGGGGGAGCCGTGTTCTCTAGACTGCTTCCTGTTGTCTGGGGGCTCAGTGGGGGACCTGAGGAAGCTGGGATGCTGTCCAAGTCCTGGGATAGCCAGCTGTTCACTCGCCTTCCAGGCTCTGGGGGACCGTCTGCTCTAGGGAAGTGCAGGTCTACTTGAAGCTGTCTGTGAGGTTGGACCACTTGGGGCAGCCATGTTGAAGCTGTCCAGGATGCAGATTTTGAGGGGACCTGGCAGAAAATAAAGTTAAGGAGTTTTAGGGGGAAATTTCTTTTCTTAGGTCCTGGTAATTGAGAGGGGGGTGGGGTCCCAAGACCAGGGAAAGGTGAAGAGGAGATCCTACTCTCAGGAACAGGCAGTAGGTGGGGACGCTTAGGCTGTTGATTGACAGTACTTATCTGGAGTCCATTTGATGACCTGTTCGAAGCTGGAGTTTCCCAGAATTTTCTGAGTTTACAAAAAGAAGTAAGTTTTAGACACATTAACATTCTCACTGTTTGTAATCTGTACTGAAATCCACATTGCAGAAAGAACAGTAGACTCAACACCTGTGAGTCACAGGGGACCCAGAAATGATTCTGGTTAAAGCATTAGCACTCTTTCCTTTTGTCCAGAAGACCGGGTATATGTAGATGAAATGTGGTTTTAGCACAATGAGAAGCACTTTTAAGTCGATACTTAGAAAACAACCAGAGGGGACTTCAAATCTTGAACTTGTGGCTATAATAATGGTAGTGGTGTTTAACAGAGCTAGATTAAAAGCTTATCAGAATTCCATTATTAATGTTAAGACTTGACATTAATAGATAAATTAGTAATAAAGTTTTAGAGTCTTAACACAACAGTAGTTTAGGGAGGGAAAGAAATCTGAAACGTTTCATTCTTTTTATATACCTTAAATCACTTTCTCATCACTGTTTAAGTTTTCACATCCTCAGATCTTTATAACTTGCATTGACACACCTTAATAACTTGTATTTACACACCTGGCATTTTTTTCCTCCAGGGATAGGGAGGACCTAGGGTGGGTTTCCAAAGCCTCAGGTCATAGCCACTTCCTTGCTACTGCAGGGAGTGAACTCCCGCTGAACATGGAGAACATGTGTGTGTGTGTGTGTGTGTGTGTGTGTGTGTGTGTGTGTGTGTGTGTGTGTGTGTTTGTGTGTGTGTGTTTACTGAAGGACCCACAAGTTGTTAAAGGGGTTCGTCCTGTGAGGACTAGTAGGGGTATAATACAAATAGTTGTAATACCAGGGATATTGCCACAAGGATGGTGAGGGAGGCTAGAAATATGCCCTGCATATTCTTTTAATTTTTTAATGGTTCATTTATATTTTCATTCTATGTGCATTGGTGTTTGGTCTGCGTATATGTCTGTGTGAGGGTGTCAGAAGCCCTGGAACTGGAGTTACTGACAGGTGTGAGCTTCCATGTGGGTGCTGGGAATTGAACCCGTGTCCTCTGGAAGAGCAGCCAGTGCTCTTAACCGCTGAGCCATCTCTCCAGCCCCTCCCTGAGTATTTGTAAGAGGAAAGATGATGATTTGTATTTGAGGGAAACGGAAGAATGCGATCAAGAAGGCGTTCATGGGCAGGGGAGTCAGCTCAGAGGATAAAGGGCTCCCCAAGCGAGTATGAGGCCCCAGTGTGCCCCTTAGCACCTACATAAAAAGCTGAGCAGGGTGGTGTGTGCTTGTGATTCCAGTTCTGGGGAGGTGGACACAGGAGGATTGCGGGGGTTGGATGGCCAATCAGTCTAACCTACCTTGTGAGCCCCAGAAACTCTGTCTCAAAAAACAATGCCATTGACTCCTGAGAAATGAAACCTCAGGTCAACCCCTGGCCTCCTCTCTCTCTCTCTCTCTCTCTCTCTCTCTCTCTCTCTCTCTCTCTCTCTCTCTCTCTCTCTCTCTCACACACACACACACACACACACACACACACAGTGCACACCCACACAAACACACTCATACCTATGCCTTGACTCCCACAGAGTCTGAAAGTGGTGGGTTCTTTTCTTACATAGCATCTCACTGTATAGCTCAGGCCTGAACTTCCGTTCCTTGTCCCCCAGCCACAGCCTCTAGAGTGCTGGGATTGCAGGGGTGTGAAGGCATGCTGGACTAGAAGGCGGGAATTGAACTGGATTTGGAAGTATAGGTGGGATGTTGACAGGATGCTGGGTGAAAGACAGAGTAGTTATGAGTCAATAGATGATTGAAGGGGCTGAGGAATTGCTTCATTTTCCAAGATGAGCTATGGCAAGACCTCATCTCTGGAAATCGCATATATACGGAGATTTCTATAAAGTTACCAGTTCTTAAGAATTTATTCACACGGTGCCTTTTTATTCGGACTTTCTGTGTCCCGAGTCTTGCTGGTTTTCAAGCATGCTGCTTGCAGATCTTTCCTTGCGTAGGATGTGTGGGAGAGGAGCCAGATCCAGGTCTTGTGATTTGTTCTTGCTGCTCATTGCTGGTCCGAGTGTGTGCTGCAGCTCTGTCCCGTGTGTCCAGACAGCTTCACCTTGAGAAGGAAGGCTTTGGCTTAGCTTTCTGAGATCTCTTTCTGCTTCAAAACTTTGAAAATTTGATTTACTGCATTTTGAATTAGCCAGGAACGAACTTATCTTTTTTTTCTACTGTCCAAAGATCTCCTTGGGTCCATTACTTCTCTAATAGATGTGAACATCCCAGATAAAAGCTTAAGGAAGGGTGGGGCCCCCAGTTTGAGGGTGTAGCACTCCACGGCAGGGGAGGCATGGTGGCAGGAGCTGATCTCACCATGTCTGTGGTTAGGAAGCCGAGGGAGAGAGATGCTGGACTGCCATTCACTTTCTCTATTCAGTCTGGGACTCTAGCTTATGGGATGGTGCTGCCAACATCCAAGGTGGGTCTTTCCTCTTCACCTAAACATTGTGGGAACACCCTCATGGACACCCAGAGATGTGTTTCCATGGCAATTCTAAATCCAGCGAAGCTGGCAAGGGAACTTGATTACACTACCCCACCACCCTTTGGGGCTTCAAACGGTCAAGTCACGGTTCTCTTGTCTTAGTGGTCATCAGCTCCCAAATGAAGCTCCTATGTTTAGGGAACCTATAGGCACACATTAGGTGTGTGTGTGGGGGGAGCAGAGTTCTGCCTTGTACCTAGTGAAAACACTCTCTAGAAATACCCGGTATCAGACATTACACTTCAGTGTGAATTTAAACACAGTATGCTGTCTCTCTTGTGACATTATATGCTATTTTTCCCTTCTCCAAGTCCCCAGGGTTTCATCCACGCCCCAAGTGTGGGTGCGTGTGAAAGGACAGCGTTGGATGCTTATTCTGTCCACTGAACTTACCGGTTTCCTTCTTACTCATCAACTTGCCATAGCTGTAGCCTCGGGTGGCCTCATGGTTGAAAACTATAAGGAACCAGCTCCATCAAGTGGCTAGTGAGGAAATGCCATCGAGGTGGGGCTGTGCCACCGAAGCTGGGCTGTGCTAATCAGCACCCCAGCTCTGGCTGTGTCGGCCACCTTTGCATTATTACTATGGAATGCTTGAGGCAGCTGTCCCACCAAGAGATGAGTTTATTCACTCCATAGAGATTCGGGGTCCAAGATTTGAGGCTCCCACTGGTGTGGCTTCTGGTGAGGATGGTCACTGCAGGCCTGCACATGGGATTGAATGGCTATGGATGGTGGATGGATGGTGGATGGCAATGCGTCACTGCAGGCCTGCAGATGGGATTGAATGACTATGGATGGTGGATGGATGGTGGATGGCAATGCGTCACTGCAGGCCTGCAGATGGGATTGAATGGCTATGGATGGTGGATGGATGGTGGATGGCAATGCGTCACTGCAGGCCTGCAGATGGGATTGAATGACTATGGATGGTGGATGGATGGTGGATGGCAATGCGTCACTGCAGGCCTGCAGATGGGATTGAACGGTGATTCTTCAACTGAGGAACAGGGTAGAGAAGACAGGAGAGATGGGATCCTACAACCTTGCTCTAGAACAGTCTCTAAGGACTGTTCCCATGAAGATTTATCTCTCATTTATTTTAATACCTTTATTAATTCTTTGAGAATTTCATTCAATATATTTTGATTATATTCTT